TGGGGGAGGTCAGCACCCCGGGAGGGTTGGCCCTTCGTTAAGGGGGGGGTTGGGTTCATTAGAAAGGGTGAGCGGGGCCCAAAATTCCTCCTCGACCCCACAACCGGTCCCTCAAACTCATCTTGGGGCTCTTCCAAAGCCAAGGGCACCACAAAATTGAGCATGAACCCAACGATTGCCCCCTCAAACTCATCTTGAACCTCTTCCAAGGTCAAGGACACTCCAAAATTGACCATGAACCCAACGATTGGACCCTCAAACCCCTCTTGAACCTCTCCCAGAGCCAAGGACACCCTAAAATTCCTCCATGAACCCAACGATTGGCCCCTCAAACTCCTCTCGAGCCTCTTCTAAGGTCAAGGACACCCCAAAATTGACCATGAACCCCACAGTTGGCCCCTCAAACTCATCCAACCCCTCGATGAACTCTTCTGACTCCTCCACGCCACCCCCATCCACTTCTCCAAGGTCCTTCACCCCACCCCCGTGGGCAAAACCCCCTCCCACAACCCCCTGAAAAGTCGTAATTAACCCCAAATTTGCCCAATCAACCCAGCAAATTAATTAACTGCCACCTTAGATCACAGGATCCCTTAACGTAATCCCAAAAATGAGGTCCCCAAAATCTTCAGTCCCTTGTCCCAAAGCCACCAGTGAAGGCGATGGACGATGGTGACACTTGACATTGGGGTTGTCCCCGTTGTTGTCCCCTCGTTGGGTCAAGAGGCTGGATGATGGTGACCCTTGACGTTGAGGTTGTCCCAATTGTTGTCCCCTTGTTTGGTCAAGACGATGGACGATGGTGACCCTTGACGTTGGGGTTGTCCCCATTGTTGTCTCCTCATTGGGTCAAGAAGATGGACGATGGTGACCCATGACGTTGGGGTTGTCCCCATTGTCGTCCCCTCATTGGGTGAAGACAATGGACGATGGTGACCCTTGATGTTGAGGTTGTCCCAATTGTTGTCCCCTCATTGGGTCCAGGAGATGGACGATGGTGACCCTTGATATTGAGGTTGTCCCCTGGTTGGGTCAAGATGATGGACGATGATGACCCTTGATGTTGAGGTTGTCCCAATTGTTGTCCCCTCATTGGGTCCAGGAGATGGACGATGGTGACCCTTGATATTGAGGTTGTCCCCTGTTTGGGTCAAGATGATGGACGATGATGACCCTTGACATTGAGTTTGTCCCAATTGTTGTCCTCTCGTTGGGTCAAGACGATGGACGATGATGACCCTTGACGTTGGGGTTGGATTTGACGTTGTGTGTGTGTCCTCCAACCCCACCCCCTGCCCCACCCCCACCCCCAGGACCGGAAGTTGACCAAGGTGGAGCAGCAGCGCTTCAAGGAGGAGGCGGAGATGCTGAAGGGCCTCCAACACCCCAACATCGTCCGCTTCTACGACTCCTGGGAGTCCACCCTCAAGGGCAAGAAGTGCATCGTCCTCGTCACCGAGCTCATGACCTCGGGCACCCTCAAGACGTGAGATGGGGACCCACCACCCCCCAACGGGGACCCCACCCGGGGAGGGAGTTCTTGGGGGGGGGAGGGGGGTGGTTTGGAGTCCCCACCCTTGATGTTGAGGTTGTCCCAATTGTTGTCCCCTCATTGGGTCCAGGAGATGGACGATGGTGACCCTTGATATTGAGGTTGTCCCCTGGTTGGGTCAAGATGATGGACGATGATGACCCTTGACATTGAGTTTGTCCCAATTGTTGTCCTCTCGTTGGGTCAAGACGATGGACGATGATGACCCTTGACGTTGGGGTTGGATTTGACGTTGTGTGTGTGTCCTCCAACCCCACCCCCTGCCCCACCCCCACCCCCAGGACCGGAAGTTGACCAAGGTGGAGCAGCAGCGCTTCAAGGAGGAGGCGGAGATGCTGAAGGGCCTCCAACACCCCAACATCGTCCGCTTCTACGACTCCTGGGAGTCCACCCTCAAGGGCAAGAAGTGCATCGTCCTCGTCACCGAGCTCATGACCTCGGGCACCCTCAAGACGTGAGATGGGGACCCACCACCCCCCAACGGGGACCCCACCCGGGGAGGGAGTTCTTGGGGGGGGGAGGGGGGTGGTTTGGAGTCCCC